AGCCTCCTGTCCCCTATATTTGCTGAAATCCCTTCTAATGCACAACTAGTAAAAACAGAAAGCCTTATCCTGTCTCAGCTACTGTTCTGAGACCAAAAAAACGGAGATGTGGGAGACTGTTGCACAGGCAAATCCAAATCTTGTATACAAATAAGAGCCACGATCCTCAATATGGGGACAAATCTTACTGATTGGCATCTTTAGTCTTGCTTTTGCCATCCTCTGGGGCAAATCTCCTTAATCCAAACATGATTCCCCCCTCCCCCATTCTACCGGCCAGTTTTGGGATTCCTATTTCTGTCTCTTAGGAATGGGACCTACGAAGAGGGGGTCATGCTTTGGTCTTCAGCAGCAGCCTTGCTTGCACTTCATGGGACCACAGCCCTGCTTAACAGGGGGAATTCCAATAACTCCTTAAGGTCCTGAGTGGACTGATATTGTTACCTGGTTTGGGGAATGAAACCTCTGCAAGACAACATCCAAGTTCAGAGAGCACCAAGGACCCCTTCAAGGGGAATTGCTGCCGGCCAGATCAGTTGGTCTCCAGCTTTTCATTATTATTTTTAACACAGGTTCCGAGTTGCTTGGGACACGGGCGCGAAGCCTTCACTAAGTGAGTAGTTCAGGATTGGAACTCGCTCCCCATTCCCACCCCCGCGGGCCCTTTTGCTTCGGCCTTTGCGTCCCCGGAACCTTTTGGCTCCTTCATCTAATCTCCTGAATTGATGGAGCAGTTGGAGCAGAAACAAAGGAGGAAAGCGAAAGCAAGGGTCGCCTCCCACTCCTTATTTCTCCAACTGGGGCGGAGAGAGGGAAGGGGAAATTTTCAGGGAGGAGGAAGCGGAGGTAATACGCTCTGGTTCGATCTGTCCTGCCAATATTAGGAGTCTGGTAACCCTACGTGCTCGCCGTGGCCGTGGGTCTCATGCGAATGCAGCCCTCTAAACCCGCGATTGATCCGGTCGTTACACGCTTGCTGGCGGGTTAAGGCCACAGTCTCACGCTGTTCCAACGGCCTGGCGCCTACCGAGGCGGTGGATACAGCTGCAAGGGGACCCGCCGGTCTCCAAGATTGGGTAAAATTTCTGTTTTCAAAAGAATTTGAGAACGGGAGGTCCAAAATTCGTTGCCTTCTACCTGCCCGGCTCGTTTCGTCGGGAGAAAGGAAATTGCTGCGTTAGCTTCCAAGCCCTTCTTGAAAGAAAACAGCTTTTTTCAGGGCTCGGAAAGAGCCGAAGCAGACGGGACAGGCGCTCCGGCAGATGGGAGGCACCCAGAGGTCATCGAGTCCTCCCGTCTCTAGAATTGCAATCCCGCCACTTCAACGGGGTTCACTGGGCCGCGGAGTCAGATCCGCTTTCTTTGGAGACCAGATTCAAGTCTTTTGGGGATTTAAGGAGAAGAGTCACACGCAAACACATTTACACACGGGCTTTCCAGTTACGTCGGACTACATTGTTCATTTTCCCCGGCTAGAGGGCTCGCAATAACCAACACTTCCGGAGGGCAAAAGATTGGGAAGCTTGCCAGAGGCTTTTCTTGTTCTGGAAGAATTGCAGCACGTGGCGCACAAGAGACAGCGCGTCTTTTAAGAGCCCTGACAACGCTTAAAACTCTTTTTTTCCCCTCCTGCACTTAGAACTGCTGTGAAGAATATCGGAAGCCGATATTAGAATATCGGAACAACCTCTGACAAGCTTCATGTGCATGCCTGAGATCTTTTTGAAATTTCAGTGTACAAATTTCTCTTAGCCTAATCAAAATAAACAAATAAAGTTATATAGTCTGTTTTTTTAAAAAAAGAAAATCGGAAGCCGTTTCTCTTTCTCTTTTCTTTCTTTTCTCTGATTTTTTTAAACTTTTTTTTTCTTTCAAAAAAAACTTTTGTTTTTTGCACTTTTTGCTTTCTCTTCAATTTTTCCCCTTTTCTTTTTTTTCCTTACTCTATACTAAGTTTGTATTAGTTATTATCTTCTTTTTTAAAATAAAAGTTTCAATAAAATCATATTTTAAAAAACCTTCTTCGTTCTCGGTTTATAGCCAGAAAAGAAGGAAGAGATTCCTACATCTGTAAAAATGTCAGAATTATTTTGATCTCGTTTCTACTTTGCCTGGGTGTTCAAAACTAAATCAGACAAAATATAAAACAGCGACGAGTGCTCCTTGGGAGCATTTAAAGTAGTCTGTCTAATTTGGTGTCCTCCGGATGACTCGGGTTAATCTCTCATTATCTTTAGCCAGAGCACCAACGGCCCGAAACAGAAGTGGGGAACAAGGGGGGAGACTTTGATCTAACTATGTTTCCTTGCTAACAACCTTAGCCTCCCTCCCCCTCCCCTCCCCCGCCCCAGTGCGGGGGCTTCTACAATCCCGTGGGGTTTCTACGTGGCAGCCGTTCCTGGGCCCTTCCAAGCAAAGGCCCCCAAATCCCTTCCCCCCCCCCCGCTTTCTTTCGGTTAAGGAAATCTTGACGCCGCTCCCCTGAACTGGCATTTTTGGACGCCGCCTAGGAGATTCGGTGGCGGAAAATCAACCCCAAACCAAAGAGCTTGGTGCTGAAAAGCCCACTGGACCGGATGCCGGACACAAATGTCCCAGCACTCAGGCGGAGCCACTGGAAGGGAGGGAGTCAGTCCGGGCAAGCCCAGTCGGGGTCGGTGTAATTAAAATCACGACCCGGGTCACCTTGGATGGTTTTCCCCGCCCCCACCCAGCAGAAAGTGGGTAGTTTTTAAGCTTCTCATCCCAGCGAATGAGCGAGTCTCGGCCTCCCGCCCCCTTTTTTGGCTGGACCTGCCCACTCTTTGCGAGGGGCATCCTTCGAGGGGGTAGCCGTTGACATCCCACCCCCTCCCCGCCAAGCAGCACGTGGCCTCGCCTGGGCTGGGGGGGGGAAGGCTGCGGATGACGATGGCGTCCCTTTGGTGGGAGGGGGCAAGCGGAGCTGCAAAGAGGCCCGTGAGAGGGAGGGAGGGGCGGCCTTTGGCTCCTTTGCCCCCTCTCACCTTCTTCGGGCTCCGCGCCTTCCCGGCCGCTGTCAGCACCAGGCTCGTCTCCCGCGCCTTCTGCGGGCTTCGGAGCTGCGTTTCGGTCTCTCTTTGAGCTCCCTCCACGGTCATTCCAGGGCGGTTTTCTCAGACTTCCTCAAACGGCCATGCCGGGGAGCTTGGATGAGGGGAGGTGCAGTCCAGCACCTCCAGTAACAGAGTTGGGAGGGACCTTGGAGGTCATCTAGTCCAACCCACCCACCCCTCACGCAGGAGACCTGTACTAGGGATTCGAACCGCGGAACTGCCGAACTTTCTGATCGCCAAGCTCAGTGTCTTAGCCACTGAGGACGCCACCTTAGCGGGAGCTGCTGATTACCTGCCAGTCTGGTTCTGGATCTTTTTCGCCCCTTTTAAAAGCACTATTTGGGCGCGGGGGGGGGTGTTTCTCAGGGCACAATGAGGCAGAAGCTCTTTCAGAAGCCCCGCTCGTAGAGCACGAGTTTGTAGAGAAAAAGGTGCGCCCGAGGACGGCGCACCCTCGACTTAACCCACAGCCTTCTTGGCGTCTTGTCCCTCGATCTGGTCCAGTTTTAGTTACTCGGGGCATCTTTTCTTCATGGTCCAAGAAAGCGAACTGGTCTCATTCTCTTGGGCAAATGGAGAGGGGGGGGAATCGGGTCCTAACTCGCTGGTCTTAACTTTTACATTTCTCTCCCCCCCCCACATACACTTTCTGCCCCCCCTCCCTCTGGGTCGCCCTGATCGCTCGGAGCCGAAATAAACGAGCGGTCAGTCAGAGAGGTGGAGGTGAGTGGGGGAAGTTGGCTCTTAGGGGGGAAAAGGCGCAGCTCGGAACTAGGAAAAGTCCTTTTATTGGGCCAGCCATGGTCACCAAGTAGCGCCGTGCCAGCTCTCAAGTCCGCCCGCTCTTCCTCGGGCGAGTCAGCCGCCAAAGACCCGGGGGCGGAGTAGGCGAGGTGGGGGGGGAGAGGGACGGCAGAGGGAGCCCCTAAACCAGGGGTCTCCAACCTTGGCAACTTTAAGCCTAGAGGACTTCAACTGGGGCCTGGTGGCTCAGCAGACTGATAGCATTGTGATTAACACTAGCTGTCTGCAATTACTGTAAATTCAAATCTCACCAGGCTCAAGGTTGACTCAGCCTTCCATCCTTTCTAAGGTAGGTAAATTGAGGACCCAGTTTGTGGGGGCAATAAACTGACTTTGTATAAATATACAAAAGTATGAAGGCTATTGCTTAAGGCATTGTAAGCCGCCCTGAGTCTCCGGAGAAGGGCGGCATATAAATCAAATTAAAAAATAAATAAAAATAAATAAAAATAAAACTCCCCAGAATTCCCCAGCCAGGAATTCTGGGAGTTGAAATCCTCCAGGCTTAAAGTTGCCAAGGTTGGAGACCCCTGCCCTAAACAAGAGTTGATTGCAGCTTGGAAAGGGCAGAGAAAGGCTTCAGATCCCCAATCTGGCCTCTGCCTGGAGTAAAGATGTTCTCAACTCCGGTGGAGAGGGAGATGCCTATGCTTGAATCCCCTCCCCGCATCACTTTCACTCCGGATCACAGAAGGGCAGAAACCCCCCGCCTCCCGATTGGTCGGCTGCTGCAAGAGAAGGGGCGTAAGGACAAAGCTCCCTTTTCAGCTCTTTCTCCTCCTTTTGCCATGTGTGTGTGTGTGTGTGTTTGTGTGTGTTGGGGGTGGTGATGTTACAGAGCGCCGTCTCTCAAGGCCCGGAGCTTTGATCAATCCGAACTAATTACCCTCGAGTCTTAATTAAACTCTTTTAGCAGTTAGAATCCGTGTTTTGGCAAGCGGACAGGAGCGTTTCGTAGTTAGACAACACCCGCGCCCGGCTAGGCTTCTCAAGGACCCCCGTTGGCACCTTTGCTGCTTGGCTCACCTTCCGAGGTTGGCGGGCGGACGACCCCCCGGAGGAATCCCTTCGCTCGGCTCCTCCTCCTTGCCAGGCGGGAGAAACAGCCACCGTTTTTTTCCGTTTTCAAGAGGCGAACCACTTCTTTTTATTTGCCACCAAATCCAACCCCCAGTCCCTGGCGTGGCTTTTTTTTTTTTTTTTTTTTGCACGTGCAATAATGATAATTATAATAATTTAAAAAAATACAACTGGAAATTTCAGATCCGTACAAACCTCCACGAGGGGAATGAAGGAGATGAAAGGTGGGCCGTGGGAACGAGGGGAGAAAAAAGGGAGAAGCGACCCCAACAATGGAGAAATCGAAAACCCCGAGGGACAAACAGAAGCGACCAGCAGGCAAAGTCAACCAACACAGCGGGTGATAAAAATCTCTATATACAGCAAAAGGAGTCTGGAGGACGCCTAAAACGGGGATTGTCAGATCCAAGGGGGGACGTTGGTGGCCCCCAAGAAGGAGATGTGGGGGGGATTCCCCCCCCCTCGAGGGTGCACTGGAGCAGGAGTCTCCAACCTTGGCAACTTTAAGCCTGGCGGAGTTGAAGTCCGCCAGGCTTAAAGTTGCCACGATTGGAGACCCCTGTACTTTCACGGTCTTTAGTGACAAAAGTAGGTAAAGACACACAAACCCGCGCACGCCTCCATTCACACATGCGGTCCAGGGAAAAACTTCGGGACTGTCCTCGGTGGGAAAGGGATGCATCAGAAGGGACGCCCCCCCACCCCCCAGACTAGAAGCCTATCGCGATTTCTCCCTTTTTCCTTTTGGATTGGCCTTTTAGGTCAGCCCTTTCCGATGCGCGGGGAATCTGCCGGGATCCTCAAGCTAATAAACGGAGCGGCCAAGGAGATCGGCCGGCAAGGGGGGGGGAGGTGGGCGCCCTTATGGTTCAGCTTCGTTTGAAAAAAGCATCTTCTTGGCCCATGGGGGCATCAAAATCAAGAGGGGCCCGGTAGCCCCTTTTCTAATGAACCCCTTTTATCTAGAGGCGCAACGTTTCGGGAAAAGGGCTCCTTCAGGAGTTCACCGCACCCTTTAAAAGAGTCCGTTTGTTCAAGGGAGTCCAGCGAGATCCGCATTCGGGTATCGGGATAAACCGATTGACAGAACGAGATCGACCCAGGAAATTCAGAGAACCGGGAACAAATTTCTCTTTCCGGGTTCTATCAAATTGGCAGTGATTTTGCTCTCCTTCTGGATCCAGGACCAGGTTTTTGGAAGGACCAAACGGGGGCTTCTTTCTAGGGAGGAGGGGGTTCCCTTCGCTAGTGACTGCGAAGCTCCTCACCCCCCACCCCCGGGGGTTAGGATGCCCGAAGTATTTGCTTCCAGGGAAAGGCTTCTGGGGGACAGCAAACTCCCAAGGGCCAGCTCAGGAGCCTCCTCAGTTCCTGGCCAGATGAAAAGAGACTCTGGACTTCGGGTATCCGGAGGATCCCACCGCTCCACCTTTTCCTTTCTTAGACAGCTCCGAACACTTGGAAATAATTGATACTTGAAAAGAAAACTAGAGTCGAAAGTGCTTCCTTCCTAAGCGCGCGCGGGCCTCTCCAATTGCTTCCTACCGGCTGCAAAATCTCTCTGGGGAAAGGAAAGGAGACGGGAAAGGAGACCACGCGGAAAGACATGCAGTCTGACATTCTACATTTTGTCACCAGCACCCCCTCTCCTTATCGGGTGAGCTCAAGCACCGCCAGCCCGCAGAGTCAGCCTTGCTGCTCCAAACACACGGGGGACACACACACGCACACACACACATGCAGGAACAACCGAGAGAGAGAGAGAGAGAGAGAGATCCCTCCGGGTTACAAAGTGGGCTGCGGCTTGGATCTGGCAAGGCTCAATAAATACATGCCCGGAGCGTCGCCCTCCGACAAATCGTGGGGAGGGGGAGGTTGCAGTCTTTTTGCTCCCCCTGACAACCACCAAGGAGCCAAAGTTCACGGAGTCCCGCTGCTTCTGCCAGCACCAGCGCGGCTTCCTCAGGAGCGAGTGCGAGAGGCCGGGGGGGGGGTTAGCGCAGCCGGGGAGGAAGGGCGCGCCCAGGGGGGCTTCACGGGCGGTGAAGCAGCGGCGGCGGCGGAAGGTCCGGTTCGCTGCTGCCGCCGCCGCCGCGAGGGAGCCCCAGAGAGGCGCCTCCGCTCCCGCCGCTGTCGTGCAGTTTGCGGACGTGTTTCTTGAGGTCAAAGTTCCGGCAAAAGCCTTTCCCGCAGGTGGGGCAGGTGAAGGGCTTCTTGTCGTTGTGGGTGTGCATGTGGAAGGTCAGGTTGTAGACCTGGTGGAAGGCCTTGTTGCAAATGGTGCACTTGAACTGCTTCTCACCGCTGTGGGTCAGCTTATGGTTCTTGTAGTTCCCTGTAATAATAATAATAATAATAATAATAATAATAATAACAATAATAATAATAATAATAACAACAACAACAACAACAACAACAACAACAGGAGGAGGAGGAGGAGGAGAAGAAGGAGAAGAAGGAGAAGGAGAAGGAGAAGGAGAAGAAGAAGAAGAAGAAGAAGAAGAAGAAGAAGAAGAAGAAGAAGAAGAAGAAGAAGAAGAAGAAGAAGAATGCAAAATCACCATCGGTCAAAACCCAGCATTAGGTGGAACAGCCTATGGTCTTTAATACTATCAGACTTGCGATTCTTCTCCTGCTACGCCCTTGGGAGGAGGTGGATAAAAATGCCCAATCCGGTCTAAACATTTGGATGATTGAGATGAACTAGAATAATAGTAATAATAATTTAAAAAACGGGAATTCTGTAACTCAGCTCAGCCAGCTTTCGAAGTCCAGACCCGCATTATCAACCAACATTCACACAACCTGCTGCACTTCATGCCCTGAATGCAGGTTTCCCTGGTAACAAATACTTAAGTTGGGCTTCTGTGGTTTGCCTGCGACTATTTGAACAGAAAATTTCGCCACAACGCCATGATCAACTGGAACCCAAGCTCAAAAGCCCAAACTGAAATCTCCCACAGTCTTGGGTCTAATCACTAAATAGATTTTTGTGAGATCCACAAGATTCCCCAGGTAGATCAGTTGAAATTCGTTTTCCTTAGCATCCCATTTTCGAAATACCAACCCACACCAGCGGAATCAAGCCAACAAAATTTTAACAATTTTATCCCCTGTTAAATCAGGGGTGCAAGGATGCACAGAGACATTTTGTCTTATCTGGCAGTAAAGAAATAAATTAGTTTTTGTCAGAACCAAGTTCCGAAAAGTGGACTGTGAAACTTTCCAGAGAAAATAGCCTACATGTTTACATAGCCGTTGTAAGGAATAGGGTTTAATCCCAAACCGATAAATCTGGTTTTAGGATATTAGCTACAATTCTTTACAGCTCCGGTTAAAACGGCAACGGATATTTTTCTCAGAAGAAATGGAGGAGTTAAAAAGAGCAGGACAGGTAATTTCCTCAATTGACACAGCCTCTAAATTTAACTGTGCTCTGTGGGGAATAAATCCCGTTCACTTTTGAATTATTCTTCGGTAACTGAAAAAAAGGCAACCTTAAGCTGTAATTTTAGACATTTCTGAATAGGAAAATCGATTTTTTGCTTTCTCACAAAGGGATGAGAATACATTTCTCAGACTGCAGTAGGAAACGCCCGGTAATTTTGAAGTTTGTGCTCAATCGTGGAACTTACTTTCAAGTAACCATTCTTTTGTTCATTGACTTTTACCCGTGGAATTACTCTCACAATCATGCTTAACATTTAAAAATCAAATAAATTTCTTATCTACCCGCCGGATTAAATACATCAAAAATAAATAAATAAATAAAACTCAAAAGATTTTAGATATAAAGAAAAACCTCATCGGTTTTGTGCAGAAATGGATAGTAACGGTTTCCCACATCTGGGAAACGAACGTCAAAAACTATTTTTTTACATTTACAATTTCATATATTTTCAAATATATACATATATACACTTTTCCTTTTCATTTACATTTTCACGGTGCCATTTATTTCCCAATTACTCTTCTCCAAAATCAGACGCGCTGTATTCCAGATCCGCGGCTGGGAATTGTAGTTTTGAGGGCAGAATCTGCTACTAGTCAGGCCTCCCACCAGAAACAAACCGGGAGAAAGCCCCCTCCCCGCGCCTCACTCAGAGCCCGTCCTGCTTTTACCTTTTTGGTGAAAGCCTTTTCCGCAGAACTCGCAGACGAAAGGTTTGTAGCCCGCGTGGATCCGCGTGTGGGTGTTTAGCGTGGAACTCCGGTTAAACGCTTTCCCGCACTGGTTGCACTTATGGGGCTTTTCCTGTGGGGAGAAAAACAACATCAAAAGCAGATCCGCGTTTAGATCAGAGCGAAGGGGGCCTGGTCATCCCGCGGCCGGAAAGAGCAACAACCACAGGCTCGAATCCAGCCCGGGGTCTCCTATCCCACAGGCTCATTGAACGGGGCCCCACCCTCCTGAAAGGGGAGGAGAGGAGACGAGGCTGGCTCCCAAGGGGAAAATCTGCGGCCTCGGGGCGTGCTGGGGATCTCTCGAGGGACCGGGAGCCGAGCCGAGCCCTCCAGAGGTTATGAGACTCAAACGGATTTAAGGGCGCGCTGTCCAACCGAAGAGTCTCCTTCACACAACACTCTCAACACTTAAACCAGATTGTTAGAAGCACAATTCGCACGATCTGCCGGCCGGACACAAACCATAGCGGGGGTTTAAAAGTTCACAACGACACACATTAAGAGAAAGACGGAGGAGGTTTCCTAAAAGCCACCAGAACCAAGGCCCTTATTTCACACGAGGCCGGGAGTTTGGGGACATTTTCCCGACAAAAGGGGTGAGAACGAGGGGAAACGAAACAAGGCACGAGAGACCCCGTCCCTTCGCCTCGCTTTCGCTTTCTGTTTGAGGCGAGGCGAGAGAGAAAGAAAAGTGGGGGAGCCTCCAGAACAGTGGTTCTTAACCTTCCTAATGCCGGGACCCTTTAATACAGTTCCTCATGTTGGGGTGACCCCCAACAATAAAATTATTCCTAAAACCATTGAAGATACGTGTTTTCCAATGGTCTTAGGCGACCCCTGTGAAAGGGTCATTCGATCCCCAAAGGGGTCCCCACCCACAGGTTGAGAACCACTGCTCCAGAACCTCGAGGGGGAATAAAGGACGGGAAGGAAGGGCGGCGAATCCTGGCTGCCAGCCGGAGGGTCCGGACCTTGGCCAGGGGAGGGGAGCCCTGGGCTTGTGGGCTCACCGGGACCCCTCTGAGGCCGCCGTGAGGCAAAGGGGCTAGAAAGGGGCTCGGGGCAGGAGCCGGCCCGGGAGCGCTACCTGGGTGTGGATGATCTTGTGGCGGCAGAGGGTGCTGGCCTGGCGGAAGCCTTTGCCGCAGACCTTGCAGATGAAGGGCCGGGCGCCCGTGTGCACCGGCATGTGGCGCGTCAGGTTGTAGTGCGCGTTGAAGACCTGCAAGAGAGAACCGGGCGCCATTAGACGGGGCGGTCTCCGGACCGGGGGTGGGGGGGGGAGGGGGCCACCCACCGGGGTCACTTGCCTTGCCGCAGACCTCGCAGGTGAAGACTTTGGGCTTGGCGCTGGGCGAGCCGCGGCTGAAGTCGGACGGCACCCCTTTGAAGGGCAGCTTCTCCGAAGCCAGGAGATGAGCCGCGGCGGCGGCGGCGGCGGCAGCGGCGGCGGCGGCGGCGTTGTGCAGCTGGGCCTGTGCCAGGTCCTTGAAGGCTGCCTGGGAGAACTTCTCCGGCCCGGACGGCAGCGCCTGCAGCTTGTTGCGCTCGGCCAGGTAGGACTTGGGCGCCGTCGAGTCTTGCAAGGCAGGCGCCGGCAGCGACGAGCCCAGGAAATAGGAGGCCACCGGGTGCAGGCTCAGGCCCGGCGGCTGCGGCTGAGGCTCCGCCGCCCGGCTGAAGTAGCTCAGGGCGCCCAGGGCGTGGAAGGAGGAGTGCTTGATCACCCGCGGCCGAACCAGCTTGTAGTGGGGCGGCTGCTGCGGCAAGGTGAGCGAGGCCTCGGCGGCCTGGGGCTTGAGGCTGAGCGGGCAGCTCAGGGCGGACGAGGCGGAGGAAGAGGAGGAAGGCGGCTCCAGGGGGGGCTTCCTGGGCTCGGAGCCCACCTTGGCGAAGGGCTCGTAAGCCAGCGGCACGAAGGGGATCATGCAGGGGATGGAGGGCCCCAGGCTGAACGCCGGTTGCTGCTGCTGCTGCTGCTGCTGCGGCGGCTTCAGGTGCTCCGCCGCCGTGGCTGCAGCCGCTTTGGGGGTCCCGCCTCCCCCTTGCAGGAAGTGGGGCAGCAGCGGCAGGGCTTGGGGCTCGGGGCCCGACCTGGCCATGATGCGCTCGATGGAGAAGGCCAGGGGCTTGGGCGCGTTCAGCATGTTGCCCCGCGCCACGGCCAGGCTCTTGGCCGCCGTCGGGGGGAGCTGGTGCTGCTGCTGCTGCTGCCGGCTCTTCTCCATGGCCGGCGTCTGGCTTGGGTCAGCGCGGTTCGGGATGCTTTGGCCCCGCCGCGCCCGGTCACAGCTCGACAGACAGGGAGCCTCGCGCCGCCGCTGCCGCCGCCACCGCCGCCACCGCCACTGGGGAACCCGACCTCAAGCCCTCCGAGGACGCTGCCGCCACCGGCGCCCTCCGCGTCTTCATCGCCTGCGGGACCAGCAAGAGCTCCGGCAAGGTCTCCATCCCGACAGCCGGCGAACGCCGCCTGCCCGTCCCGATGGACTCGCGCCGGCCCATCGCCGCCGCCGGTGTGCTTCCTTGGCGGGGGATGCTGGCTCTCCCCTCCTCCTCTTCCTCTTCCTTGGCAGCGTCTCTCGCGGTTCCTCCCCCCCCCAAGCCCCCGCTCGATGGCAAGTGTTGGGTCAATAGCAGCAGCCACGATCCCGCCAATCGCTAACTTCCAAGAAGGGAAGGTAAACTAGATAATTGCTCAATTCGCGTCCAACAGGCACCGGGAGGAAGGGGGGGGGAGAGAAGTTGAGTCCCCCTTCCCTACCACCTCGGAGAGTCAGTGGCTCCTTTTCATTGGTGCCTGCGCCTCCCTCTGCCCTCCTCCCAGAGAGAAGGGGGGCTCGTTTCGCCCGCCCCCTCCCTCCCTCCCTCCCTCTAGATCGCCCCTGCTCTGGATCCCCCTCGCCTGGCCTCGCCTCCAGTTGCCTCTTCTTGCCAAGATCAATCCGAGCCCCAGCCCCCCTCCCTCCCCCCTCCCCCATCAAAAGACCAAGGGCTCTGGCGACCCCGTTCAGCGTCGGGAGCGGTCCCGTGACGGGCGGGCGTGGGTTTGTAAGCAGCGCCGAGCCAAAGAGCGAGCAGAAAGTTGCGCTGCCCGCTCGCTGTCCCTTTCAGGCCGGGCGCACCTGGGAACCGAGCTTGGCTGCTCCGCTGCTGCCTCGCCCGTTCGCTTCCCGTAGCGACCCCCGAGGCGGCGGTTGCCTGGCTGGCTCGGCTCTGTAGAAACAGAGGCGGGTGAAGCGAGGAGCTGGCGCTGCGGGGCCCCACCGGGCATCCCACCCGCGAGGAATCGGACTCCTGGTGTCGATCCCCCTTGACCTCCAGTGGGAGAGGCCCGAAGGGATTGTTTCCCCTTGCTGCGCTTCTCTGGAGTGACGCCGGTTGCCTGATCTGGGTCTCCGCATATTTGACCCCCGCTTGGTCTGTTGATCGGGATTCGATCCGTCTTCTCCGTTCGCGCGTCCTGGATCCTGGAGACGCCGGGTTCCTTGTAAAAGAAGAGGAGCCCACCGGTCTCAATAGGATTTCTGCTCCCTTTCCCCAGCCTGAGCCGATTTTCAATCACGCAGAAAGCCGTGGTGGAGGGTGCCGAAGGTCCATGCCTCCATCCATCCCGGGGACTGGCCCCGAGACGTCCTCTTGATGCTCCTGGGCCCTTTGAGGCCCGCTGAGTGGCAGCCTCTCGGCTCCGATCAGCCCCCCTTAGCGCCTCCTGGCCCTTCACGCAGCCCAGGCCAAGAGCTACATTAACCTGCTGCAAGGAGAGGCCAAGGGCCTGCAGGGACAGAAAAATTAACAGACCCCCAGAGTCCTCTTGGCCCCAAAGCAGAGATTTAAAAACAAAACCAAAACCGCTTCGGGGGAAGGCGAGGTTCAGTGGGACATTAGGCGATTGTTACTATTTATACCTTTTTAATGCAACCACAGGAGAAACTGTGGCTGCTCAAAATTAGTGTGTCATATCGATGACCCTCCCTGTGTTGGCGGGCCCATCTCCCTCTTCAGAATCTGCTCATCGGCACCAGGCTCTCTTCTCCCCCGCCCAACTTTTTAGGACATGCTTTGCCACCCTTTCCTTGTACTTCAACCTCCTGACAGGGGTCTCCACCAGGGACGGGGTTTTTTTGTTTTTTGTTTTGTTCTTCTCCAGAGACTCAGGGCGGTTTACAATGCGTTAAGCAATAGCCTTCATACTTTTGTATATTTATACAAAGTCAGCTTATTGCCCCCACAAACTGGGTCCTCAATTTACCTACCTTTGAAAGGATGAAAGGCTGATCAACCTTGAGCCTGGTGAGATTTGAACTTGCAGCAATTGCAAGCAGCAGATGTTAATAACAGTGCTTTAGTCCACTGTACTACAGGCTGTCAATGGGGTGGTTAATGGGAGCTCTTCCCTATAGCAGGTGGGTTGGTGCTAATCTATAATTTCCACCCTCTCCAGAGGGGTCCGATTCCCTCTTTAAGCACCCCATATCACAAGGCGGGGGCGGGGCGGAGAGCAGGGCAGGGACATCGATTGCAGGCCAAGCACTTCTACCTGCACAGCGCCTGGCACACAGCGCAATGCGACCTCGGAGAGACTGAACCGAGACCTGGTCCTTGCTTAGCACAAAACGTGCTTGGCTGGCACCGTGGCGAAGACAGTTTGAAGCACCTACGTGCTTGGGCCAAGCACGTTTGGGTCAAGCGTCAGCCGCAGTCGCTCTCCCAGCCTCCCACGGTAACTATTTGCGGAGCTGTCCAAATCCGTGTCTCCTTAACGCCTCCAGAGTGCTTGTTTGCCAGTCCTTTTAGAGCTCGGCTTTTTCCCACCTTCTCAGACAGAAAAGGAACCAACCCTGTGCCGAGCATGAATAATCCCTTCTCAAAGTCGATTTACTGGCTCTGCCACCCGTCAGAAAATGCCTAAGGGGAAGAGTGGAAAGTCACCAGCCTCCCTCCCTCTCCCCTGCCTCACCTTTGCGCATCAAAGAGGCAAATAGGGGGACAGCCGTTGGGGCAGAGAAGTAGGCCCGGCCCAGCCCAGCCCATAGAAATCTGAGACAGCCTCACTCCTGCCAAGCTTAGACAGGACAGATCTCACCTTTTCCCACGTGAAACAGAAGGCCTAAACTGCCTCTTCAAGACCAGGTGATGGGTGTTGGGATCTATGCAGGGTTTCTTTAAAAGAGAAATTGCATTCAATTCAATAGACTTGCTCTTGCGTCCTATAGAAGAATTGCTGTGAGTGTCAGAGGGATTTGTCCCCACTGAAAAGCTTTGGGAAGTGTAAAGGCGAAGAGTTTTGCTCGGCTGCTGAGATGCCAATATTGTTTCTTGGGGAGGGGGAGGGGGGGAAAGCAGCTTGGGATCAAAAGAAAGTTTGAATGGCTGCTCTGCTCACAGTTTGGCAGACTCACAGGCCTGGAAAGCCTTTGCTAAGAAAGCGTGTTCTGCTTCCCAGCAAACAATAACCATGTGTGCTTGCAGTTTTGAGAGGGATGCACCAGGGAGAACCATGCTTAGAGTTGTGCTCCAGAGCCTAAATTAACTGCCTTTCATCTCACCTGTGGTGGGATCCATGCACTCTCTCCAAACAAAGGAAAAGTTTGCATTCCAGTCAAGGGCAGTCATAGCAGGACCCAGGCTATGAACTTTTAGCAAACTTGGCTTAGTGATGTTAATTCGTGGTTCATTGGGTGTCCAACCGAGAATATTAGATGAACCGAATCAACCAGCATTCAAATAATCATGAGTAAATATGCCATGCAAACACAGTCTATATGCAGGCTTATGTTGTGAGAGCATTTACTCCACAGCTCCATCAACTGGACAGAGATATGTGAGAGAAACAAACCTTTCTATGCTGCTGAATGGATACAGTCAAGCAGGCAGATCCAATGCATTGTACCTGTACCTGTGAATGCTACTTAACGGAGCTCTTCTGGGACTTGCAGGAAAGTCATGTGGGCTGTGGGGAAATTAGGATTAAAGTGAAGGAGATAGCAAAAGCTATGACCCTAACTCTAAAACCAGGGGTGAAATCTAAAATTTTTCCCTACTGGTTCTGTGGGCGTGGCTTGGTGGGCGTGGCAGGGGAAGGATACTGCAAAATCCCCATTCCCTCCCCACTCCTGGGGGAAGGATATTGCAAAATCTCCATTCCCACCCCATTCAGGGGCCAGCCAGAGGTGGCATTTGCCGGTTCTCCGAACTACTCAAAATTTCCGCTACCGGTTCTCCAGAACCTGTGAGAACCTGCTGGATTTCACCCCTGTCTAAAACTGTCACTTTGTGATGCAAAACATCCTCATTTGCTTTGGAGCCAAATGCTATGATTCCCATCTTTGATTCAATAGAAAACTAAACTGACATTGACCACACCCATTGATGATCTCTCCCACCTCTGTAGCTGCAGGTGCCTGACTTTCTTTCAAGGTGAGGAGTAACAAAGGTTCAGAGATTTTGGACATGTTAGTGCTGCCGGACAGTGATGGAGGATTGGAGAGTGGGGGAAAAGTGACCTTTTATGTATTTAAGGGTAACTTAAACATGCTCTCCATCCTGGGGTACTGATGTGATACAGGCAATGCCACGGGAATAGCATGGCAGGAGAAAAAAAGATGCACTTGTGCTGTAGTTAGGTGCAAGCGGGGAAAAAAAGGCCATCGAGGCAACATTGATTTGGCCTACAAACAAGAAGGCAAAGAGGAGGATTGCTTCACAGCCATTGCTCCCATTGGAGAACCAGAGGTAGCCAGTTCTACTTCTGGGTAGGCAAACAAGGTGATGGTGCAGATTCTGGGTAGGAAATCCAATTACAGAGCGCTACAGTTAAATTCCAAATGGAGGCAAAAAATCCATTTTTGCTTTGAACTGAAAAGTTTCTCTTTCTGCCAATTCACCAACCATTCATGCCCATCAAATGGGGAATGAACCCTCATTTGACACACTGAACCTATAGGTAGCTTTTTGAAAGAAATTGTGTTTTCCTGAACTATCCCCGGAAAAGATGCTGCTGCTTTAAGGGGTTTCTTATGGACATGTGCCATGTTTGGGTATGTTTGGGTATCACTTTGTTTGTCACTTTGTCACTTTGGAATTGGCAGCAGAAGGCAGCCCCAGGCCAAAATAACTTTTGGCCCTTGGAGCTTCAGTCTTAGGGCAATACTAGCACTCTAGAGCAGGGGTCTCCAGCTGGCTGAGGAACTCTGGCAGTTGAAGTCCACAAGTCTTAAAGTTGCCAAGGTTGGAGACCACTGATCTAGATG